GCAACAAGTAAGAGAACGTTGTGAGTATTGTACCCAGGTCATCAATAGTGGAAATAAAAAGAGAAGCAACCAAACAAAGAGTGTTGGAGTGATCAGCTAATTTCCCCAAAGGTCGCTTCAACAATATTTAGCTGAAACCCGTGTGATGTTAATAAATTAGTAATAATGTCACATGTTAACATATATCTAAAGCTAATTACTGTATAGTGATCCTTTCTTCACATTTACGTTTATTTAGAAAAACAACATCGTGGGTTTAAAAAGACTAAAGGTTTTTGACTTTTAAAAATGTCGTCATCAGATTTCTATGGCTTTCGTTGGCCACTACATGAACTCTTGTGTTTGCTAACAGAATTTTGTAAGACTGTTTTCGACAAAAAGACGTTTAACTTCGATGACTTTTTTGAATTTCCTAAGTACAAATCGACTCGTGCAAACCACTCTAATAAATGTATCTATCAAATTAGCTAATTTTACATGTAACTCATTTAAGTACTCTTTAGCTATAACATTTCAGTTTACCAAGACCTATGAACTAATCCAAAAACTTAAAACAGTTAAATATCTATTAGTTTCGTAGCCATTTCTCAAGGAAATTGTGTATATTATGTGAAGAATGCAAATGAAAATGTGAAAGTTCACACATTTGAACTGCGGAGAAAGATACGAAGATATAGATGATCATCGCAGTTATACACTCAACTCAATTTTGTTCGTAGTTATGGTAACGAATGCATAACTGAGTAGTTTCGTGAATGCGGTCACCTGGTAATTTAGTAATAAACATGGTGATTATAAGTTAAATACAATGTGACGTCACTACACCTAACGAACCACTCAAATGACATTTGAAGAAATGTACAGCTTTGGCTTCGTGATGTGTGGATTAATACTTCATTGTTTCTTCTGGTCTTGTGCACGACATCAACTCGCTGCTTACCAAAAGATTCCAAAATTCCAAAATGCTCGTTTTTGCATTGACTCTTTGGTTCAACGCAGCCCCGTTATTACATGCTTGTCCTTTGAAAGGGTTTACAGGTTTCTACTTTGTTCAAAACAGGAACATGGTTGCAGGTCACGCCCTAGAAGGTTTCACGTACAAAGAAGTTACCACCCCAGATCCCATGTCGTGTTTTCATCGCTGTTCAAGTGAGTGTCGCTGCATTTCGTTCAACATCCATACAACCAATAACACCCTGATCTGCCAGCTAAACGACGAAAACAGGAGCACTAAGCCCCAAGCACTGCTGGCTTCTCCACAGCTTCATTACTACGATTTGGTCATCGATTACCCTTCTGAGGTAAAGTTTTTTTTTTTTTTTTCTCGCATAGTTTCTGCACTCTCCTGGTGGTAACTGCATCGGAGGTTTTCTAGTTGATCATCTCCAATTCAAAATAACAAGAAGTAGGCATAGCAGATTCTTAGTTTTATTCCAAATCTTAAATTTCCATTCCATAATTTTTTTTTAACCCTGAACTGTATCTTGAGAAGAAATTAAGGTAGGCTTTTCTCCTTCGCCATTAGTAACTCGTCTAAATAATTAATGACTCCCGTTTGTAGCATTAACCGCCTAGTGAGATTGTTAGTGTTTTTTATATGGACCTATCTTTGAAAGTGAACTTATCATATAGGAACAGCTTTTGTTTTCCCCGAAGAACACAAAAGCACGGAATTCACTAAATTTAAGTCTCTGTAATTGAATGGTAAAGGAAATCCCTAACCACCTAGCAACGTACCTTTGGATGCTTTTTCTGATAGCAATTGAAAGATCTCTCAACATCATTCCACGGCAGGAAAAATGATGGCGGATGTACATTTTACCACTAGGCCTTGCGAACCTAACACAGTCTAAAAGGCACAAAGAAAACCAAATTTTTACAATATACGTCCCTGTACTATGGACATTAAGTAGCCTAGGTTTGAAGATTGTATAACGTTTCTGTACGTTTTTATGAGCGTTGTTAAGGTTTTCGTGCGCTAAGAAATATGGGTAAATGTACCAGTCGCCATCTTTTTTCCTACGGAAGACTGCACGAGACTGTAATATAAGCGAGTGCATTTTGAAAGAATTTTCAAACATCACACTGAGTAGAGTAAGTCCTTAATTGCCGGAGCTTTCATTCCATTACTAATTTATTGTATGACTTAACATCAAACATTAATGATAAATTTGCCTGCTTTCAGCCAATCACAGTGAAGTAATTTTCACGGTTTATTATCAGTTGAATTAATAAATTATTTCTGTTTCTCAACTTTTCAAACAGTTAGAAAAAAAAAATCTCACTGAGTTACCAACTACAAGACACGTTATTGTGTAATATTCAATATGGAGCACTTTCATGGCAACCATATTGCTGTTCCAAAACAATAAGAAATCTTTTTGAATAAGAAAAGAACTCATTTCTCATCGGGAACTTTTATTGTTTGGGAACACTAACATGACTAACCGTGAGCACGCGTTTATCGAGCTAAATAAATAACTAAAAATTAAAAAAAATAAAAATGATGACGTTTATTTTCTCTCGGCAGTGTTTAGGTAAGGCTAGTGGGGCCGAGCAAACAACTGAAACAAATAATTCAAAATGAGTATATCATTGTAATTAGAATCCTAACTGGCCGGAGGCAAACCAGTAGGCTATCTACAAGCGTAGCCGAGGATTTGAACTGTGTGTTACCGTGAAAAAAATCCAGGAAGAGGTCAGAGCATAGATAATTGAGGGAAATGGTTAGGAAACCTGGCAAATTCTTTGTTGTACGGTTTTTTTTTTTTTGCTATTTTAGGGGTTGACCCTGCACAAAACCTGGCTCAATACCAAAGGTGGTTACGTGTGCTCATACAACTAACCAATAGAAGCATTGCGATTACGTAATTCATGCATAGTCAATGAGCATAAAACAAAAGATGTACAGGGTCAAGGGCCTTCCAACGTAAATCTTAGCCTGTTTGTTTGCTTCTTTGATGTTTACCGGCCTTCCTAACCATTTCACTCTATTAACTATAGTCAGAGTGGAACTCGAACCTTAGACTGCTGGATTGCGCGTCCGACGTGCTGACCACTCAGCCAAGCTGCCTCCGGCTACGGGTCATGCGCGCCTCAAGCAACTTCAGTATTCTTCTCGAGCGCTCTGTCTCCAAACCTGCGAATGCATCCATAACTCAACACACCCTTCTAAACGATTGAATTTCTTTCAAGTGTTAGTCAAGATGTAACCATATACTTTTGTGAAAAATGCGTTCCATAAAAGAATGACTTACGAAAGCCGCGCCGCTCGAAATCTCTGAGAAATTTCTCATATCTCTCAGAAATAACTTTTCCAGCAGATTTTGTAACTATTTTTATTCATGTTTGAACTTCGCCATTTTCTGAATCAAACTGCTATTTAAGTCATTTTAAGTGACTTTGTGTTAGCTTTCATTTTAATGGCAGGCTATCGACTTTTTTTTAAGTAAACTTAACGGTTGTTCTCGTTCAATACAGGGCGAGTTTTCACTCTCCGGGGATTGTTGCGATTACAATAGCTGCTGCGAAACTAATCCATGTCTCAATGAAGGCCAGTGCACCCCCAATTGCGACGAAAAGGGAAAGAGATTCATCTGCCACTGCTCGCAAAAGTTCACCGGCGCAGTGTGTCAGTTAAGGCGCGCCAGAAACTGCGCGGAGGTTTGGAATCAAGGATGGAGGCAAAGTGGACATTACGTCACTCTTGATAACAATGAAAACAACCTGACAATGTATTGTGATTTCACGAGCGAACCAGAGTTTATATGGACTCTTGTGGAATCGTTCTCTCTGGAAAACGTTGACCAATTTCGACATAAGCCTTTCTTCAAGACAGACTACGTTGCCGTTAACGAAGTTAATCCTGATTGGTCGGAGTACAAGATGTCACACGCTCATGTGCAACTCGTGCGAACAGCATCCACGCACTGGAGAGCCACGTGCAACTACCCTACCCGTGATATCGACTACACAGATTATTTGAGGACGTCATTTGATGATTTTGATATATTGATGGATCCAGGTTTGTGTTCGTGAAGTTTTCTTTCAGTTTCTAAGATCCATCCCCAAGTGAGCCGTCCTTTGTGCAAAGAACAACCAGGAAAGTAATGTCCTACCTGTTGGATACGGTGCGAGGGTGTTTTAAAGTGATTTCAGGGTCTCGTGTCTCGTGTATTTTAGACATTCATACTCTTTTATCTATTATTCATTTATTCTTTGATTTCTCCACGAAATAAGTGAGATGTTACACCTTAGACAAGCCAACTTATACGTCCCCTAATATGGTCCCATCTACCAAACAACAGAGAAACCATAAGAGAGGAAGGATGGTGAGGCAGATGACCCCGTTCCCTGTGTTTTAACTTCGGGATGTGGCAGACTGAAAGCACTACTAACAACAATAAAATTAGGGAGCTTAAGAAAACCACGAGGGCAACGGCAACGGGAACGTCGCTAAACAAAAGGTTTAGTGAGGAGAATGATGGCTGTGCACGTGCGTTATAACTCTTGGTACATTTCTTTAACTCTATTTTTTTTATTTTTTTGAAACAGTTAAAAGTCCCAAATGCCAAAAGTTTGAAATGATTAACATCCGAGGAATTTCCTGCCTGGATTGTACCGCTGGCGTTCTTTATGGTGGTAACCATGGATACACATTTCACATTGACAGCCAGAAAAGCGGCTCGGTTGTCGGGTGTCAGTTTGATGGCTCGAATGGAGCGCTCAGTTCTGAAGATAACTTTGGATACTATGGTGTACCCAATCCCGCATTTTCTTGTACTGAATCTACAACTTCCACTACGCAAATCTGGTTTGGAAGGAAAAAATGACTGTCTCAAAACATAGAGCATGAACATGCAGGGAAAGGATTCTTGTGTTGGCACGAATTTTAGGATGTGTTTGGAATCTATTTGGCATTTGGTCATTTGGCATTGTCTTCATTTGATATTTACTCAAGTGGCATTTACTCATGTTTGATCAACTTGCAGTTTCATTTATTCGGGAATTTCTCCTGCCATTGATATAACTAATTATAAAGGGTCTCTTGTGACTGCACATGTTCCCTGATATTCTTTTAGTTCGTCGGTTTCCTTCTAGGAAAGGATTTTCCTGTTTTCGTTTTGGGGAATTGAATTCAATATATTAATGGTACTTATTAAATCTTGGTATTGGGTGAACAATTGACAAGGGATCGTTTTAGGGACTAACAGTGAAAATTATCAAAGGGTTAATAAACCACCAGAAAAAAAAATATGTTCTTTTATGAAAAGTTCCGAGCTCTGTTCACCACTAAGTCTACTAATTGGACCAGCAATTAAATGTTAAAGAAAAAGAGAACATCAAAAAGATGCTAATAGCTTTTGAAGGAAACTCGTTTGTGGTTTATTTACTTTTAGATAAATAAACAATAGCCTCCATTTGGCGCGGAAATATCCGCGGACATTGTCTGTTCCGAGAAGCGAACAGTTTTCTGAGAGCGCAGCTCGAGGAAAACTGTGAGCTTTGAGGAACAGATTATGTGCTTATTAGCCTTCATATATTTTTCGCAACACGCACGGTTTGAAAATTGGGGAATATCTTTCTGATATTCTCCAGTCTTAGTTGGGGAATATTTAGTCACGTGACGCGTTTAGACCAATCACGTGCGGGCGAAAATATTTAATGGAATACAATTGATAATATTTATTCAGTATACTCTTATCTATGTGTGCTGATGGTAGCTAACTGTGTTTCAATAGCTTTTCGATGTACGTGTTTCCATCTGTTTTGGCTTACAAAGGATTTTAGCGTACCAGACCATGCATACTAGAACTGTTCATTTGTTCATTTCTGTAGGGAGTCGATTTGTATTCTTGTATTTTATTTATTTATCCAAATCCACTACATTTCTTGCAACAGCTATTTATCTTACGTTAAGAAAAAACCGAAAGCATTCAATTTTAATTTACTCAGAGAATTTCGAGCGAATTGATTTACGCAAGGATAGTTAATGTCACTATTCTGTGAGAATTCACTTTTATGTGTTATTATAGCCCATTATTATTATAGCACATATACCAATAAATAAAGAAAGCCACACATCATTTGGCGTAATGTGGGGGGACACAACTTTGATTTGCGTGACCTTTTAAAGCCTCACTTGTCACCAGAACTACCGCACTGGAAACGGACAAGAGTAACGGCAGGTTAAGTTGATCACAATATAATAATAGTAAATACGCTGACCTTCCAAGCCTCACTTATCACCAGCACTACCCTGCACTGGAAACGGACAAGACAAAACGGACAAATTTGACCTGCCAATAGACGGGTCAAATTTGAACGCGTGACCTTGAAAGCCTCACTTATCTCCTAGGTGCTGAGGAAGCCAGCACCGGATCGGACAAGACTATTGGGAGGTGCACAAATGAAAGGGGCAAAACACTGCCCAAAGCTTGGGGGAGGTCGCTACCCGAAGACTTAACCGCCACAAATACATGCAAGGCAAGTATCTCCCCAAGCACAAAACAACATATTTATGTAATAGTGCCCTTTTCAGTACAATGAGGAAGTTTGTTATTCTTCTGGAGCTCCTGAATCTGCTTAAATCAGTTCATTGTCTTTTCGTCAACCTGAAAGACGCAATGTCTACTAGTCAGGTTCTGTCCCAATGCAATTTCTATCACCATTGTATGTCGTACCATGTACGACAATTAGCACCAGACTGGTCTAGACCAGACCATTAACTGGAAATTGAATTTGGTAAAACCACCAATTGCAGCTTAATGATATTGCCATATTTTGAATATAATCCTGTCTATCGGCCCATAAGCTACTGTAGACAGTAGTGTAGAAGTAACCATGTATATATCCATAGAAGATACGTTCATAGAGGAGATCTACTCAAAACCATGCTAACGCTTGAAGAAAAAATGGCTGGGGATCATATATATGAGCAAGAATAACCCCAATAATATATTGGCGATGAATTGACGTGCGGCTGCCCGATACGAAAACCCTAAAAAACCCTTTGGAAAAAAAATAGGGAACGTACTCTGTATCGAAGGCCTGAGCGCACTACCCCTGCAGATGGGGCCAATCATATACCGGATTGATACAGAACATAAGTATATGCGATGTCTTGTTAAAGGTGTTACAGCGGCAAATTAACGATTGTAGGTTCTCAACTGTACATTCGAACTCAAGAGACACCATCCCCCAAATTCCATCCCAGGTGACCCGTAATTTTTGTCAGGTTGCTGCACTACTGAATGAGGAGAGGGTTTGCAAGAGTTAAGTGCCTTGCCTGCAGGCTAACCCTCCATTTTAGACAGGAGTCCAATCTCTGATTTATTAGGCAACAGCACCTTTCTCATCCCCGACAGTAGCTAGATGGTGAGTGTCCACCGACTGCAAAGACCTATGACAGTTAACCTTTTTGTAATCCCTGATGTCAGCATAAAAACAATTCTTATTGCCCTGGATAAATTTCTTACAAATGCCAGTTGGGAGAATTACTTAAGCATGAATACTATTTACCATTGGTGGCCATTTTGTACATTCTCATTACCTGTGTGATAAAGTGTGTATTGATATTACATGGTTACATCTGATTTGATCACTTACGACTTTTGGGACTTAGTTCTGATCTAACTTCTTAACAGATGGTCATATATCAATTTGGATACTTAATCCACCTTGGCAAATGCAGTGTGTTGACACTGGCAGCTAGCAAGGATACAGCTTGATTTCAAGGACCTGCCATTAAGCCAAATAATAAATGGCCATTTCCCATCCTTCACAGAAAATTTGTCTGGCTAAAACAATAATGGGAGCTATGTTCACGGCTCTACTGATAACACCATGAAAGCGAAATGGGTGCCCATGGCCATCGACCAGTTGTTACCCTCCACTGCCAGCTAACTACTTTTTTTAACGGTCATATTTGTGAAACAAAGGCAATAGTAGTCACCTGCACGCAGGCTATGATATCTACAAGGCTAATTGAAAACTAGAAAAGAGAAATTATTATCATGATAACATGTCGAAAACATACGGTTTACATATATTATGTCCACAAGAATAATTATGGCGCACATCGGTGGGGTCAGCCAACCATTTGCTGATCGCCCTTTCAAACACTGACTGAAACGTCTCGGTCCAAGTTGCAATCAAAACACAGCAAAATAACTTGCGCAAGTAGGTCTTTCTAGGCTGATCGGTGAGATGGGCTACAACCATACCAGCGCGTGTACTATGGCCAAGATAACAGTAAACGTTATTATCTTTGCATCTTGACCAGTTGGTGCCTTAGATAGTGAAAACGGAGGCCCTCTTTAGAAATTTTACGATGCAAAGAAGGCTTTATATGTGGAATATACACTATAAGTTTAAATCTACTAGCGTTCTTACACGAATGCCGTTCTCTGATATGCTACGCTACCCACTATCTATTCTGTAATAGATAGTGAGTAGCGTAGCAGTGTGCCCTTGTTGACAAAATGAAGGCCGCTTCTTGGCGTTTTCGAGGTGTCTGTGAGGGATTTAGATAAAGTTTTGAACGACTAGCAGATTTATACTAAAACAATTAGATTATGCGCTCTCCATTGCTATGCGTGATAGTTGTAGTTCACGCAATAGAAATCTCGAGCTCATAATCTAATAAGCCGCTTAATGCTGTTTTATACTTGAAAGTGAATTTATCAAAACCTAAGCAGGACACAAGCAACGCAATTCACTCCCTAATTTGACTAACTTGACTCCGTAATTTGACTTTGCAATGATTTTGTGCATGGTCAATTGCCTGAGACAGTCGAAAAATATTTTGAGAACGAAAATAATTGACCATTTCAAAAGGTATATTTTATAGTACGGTCGAACCTCTATTGAGCGACCACGCACGGGGACGAGACAACTGGCCGCTTAATAGCCTCTTCCAGACGTTCAGTGAGTTGGGGCGCAGCGCGGAAAACAGCACGCGAAAAAATAAAAAAAGCGCGGTGCTTGCTCTCACCGCGCCTTTTTTACATTTTCGCGCGCTGATTTTCGCGCTGCGCCCCAACTAATTAATAGAGGGGGCTGTTTAATAGAGGTTCACCCGAAGACAACGAAGGGCGTGGTCCAGTTTTCAGTTTATCAAATATAAGTACAAACAAATGCAATTGGAGAAAAAGTAGAACAATGGTGGTTATAATACGCTCCATAACGCTAACAAAAGCCAAAGAAACAGTTACGTGTACAGACGCTTATAACGGTTCGACTGTAAACTAATTATGAACATTATGCGTCTATTATGAACATACTGGGTCCTGGGTCCTTAGTAAGATTGAGCGATTTTTTGGTGTCCATGCAAAGTGTTGAGCTTCATTACTTTACATATATCAGTACTTCAAGACCAAAGGTCATCGGCTCCTGTAGCTACCTACAAAGCTCTTATTCCTTTTGTCCAAAGTGGAGCTCGACGTCATCACCAATGAGTACAAATGGAGCCCAGTATTTAACGGCGCCAAACTTCTCTGTCACTCTAAGAGATTTCATAGCCCGATCTAAGGATAAACTGGCGCTATACCCACAACTCAGATTTGTGTAAAACCTTATCATAAACTCCATGGCGGCCTTGTCATCAATTGCCCAAAGTGAAACCAGAACAGAACGAGCACCTGCACCCAAAAAAGCTCGCGCGATACCAACCACGCCTTCAGCAGTAACCGTCCCCCGACCACTATGACAGCAACTTAGCACAACAAGCTTTGCTCGCAATTGAACAGCTTGCACATCTGCCACTTTTAAAATATAATCCTCTTCTTTAGGGATTCTGGAAGTCCATCCGGGATTTGGAGCCAAAGCGATTTCACCCGTTCGTGCGTCCCCATGCGCTGCAATGTGTACTAACTCAACTGAACAGATTTGTTTCAACACATTTTCTTTCGTTGCTTCTCTTCCAATGAGGGGTGGAGTGTTGAGTATTTCTCCTATCTTCCTTACTTCAATTCTGGCGTGTGTCAACTGCGACAAAATGGGCTTACCTCGCTTGTTGGTAACTTCCACTACGCATGGGTCTCCCACAATCAGCGCCCCGTCCTGTCTGTGGTAGTCCTGCGGAGAGTCTTTGATCAGTTTTAAGCTAGTTAGCGAGGGGACAATGCGGATCCTAAAAGTATCGTTTAGGTACCTGGAATCCGGATCTACAAATGCTGCAAAAGGTACCATGCACAATGGACCATCTGGAACAATGATTATTTCGTTCCCTACAAGCAGGTCTGCGAAAGGACCAATGACAACATCGTACAGTTGTCGCAAAGACTGGTTATTATTGTCATAGAATGATGTGGAATGCAACGTATCCTGACAAGAATGGGTATTAAGCAGCAACCCCTCGTCACCTCTTAGCTCATCCAATGAACGATTCTCGCATTTAACAGGCAAACCAATGCCATTTTCTCCGAAAGCTATTTTCATTAAATTTTGTAACTTGGTTGTAGCATCTTCACCTGCAGGTATATTGTCTATCTTCTTTTGTCTAAATTGAACTCCATTTCCCTTGCAGAAAACCCAAGAATTGATTGTGTCTCCTTCAAGTGCTACAAATACTGTTAGTTGAGACACATCTCTTAAGAAGTAAGAGAGGGTTTCTCTGTGTGCAAATGAGCTTGATGGAGACACCCTAAAGCCATATTGGAAGTTCAAGAGATCTGTCAAAGCCTGTGCTCGTCCTTGCTCAACAGCACACAAAGCCTCGTCAGTGTCTTGAATCTTGAGTAAAGTAGTCCACAGAGCAGTGTACACATGTTGATGTAAACTGCGAAAGCTTATCTTCCACTCATCTTCGGAGAAAAGAAGAGCTCGCATGTCATTGTAGAGATTTACACTGGACCTATAGTACTCGATAGCCTTGCGTAAAGAACCCAATAATTCAAACGAATAACCTAAAAAATAACATGCGAATGCCTGGCCAGCCCTGTCCCCAACTTCATTAGCGATATTCAAATGTTGCTCATAGTATACTATGGCTTGTTCGTGCTCCCCAAGACCGCGAAAGGCACATCCCAGATTGCCATAGGCAGTTCCTTCGCCCGCACTGTCTCCTATTTCTTTGGCAATGGCAAGATATTTCATGTGATACGTTATGGCTTGTTCAAAATCACCGATAGCATCGTGAACGTTGCCAAGATTACAAAAGGCACTTCCTTTACCAGCTCTGTCCTCCAAATTGTCTGCAATACGAAGATGCTGTTTGTGGTACTCTACTGCTTCTTGAAATTGGCCGAGACTATAATGTGCATTGCCAAGATTTCCGTAGGCAGCTCCTTCTCCAACCCTGTCCCCTACCTCTTTGGCAATAGAAAGGTTGTGCTGGTGGTACTCAATGGCCTGTTTAAAATCACCTAGACGAAAATAAGCATTGCCAAGGTCGCCATAGGCAGCTCCCTCTCCAGCCTTATTTCCCAATTCCTTCATAATGCTAAGACGTTGCTGGTGGTAATTTAGAGCGTGTTTAAAATCTCCCAGGCGATGATAAGCATTGCCCAGATTACCATAAGCAGATCCTTCGCCGACCCTATCCCCAACCTCTTTGGAAATGCTAAGATCTTGCTTGTGGTGCCATATGGCTTGTTTGAAGTCACCGACGCTATGATAAGCATTCCCCAGATTGCCATAAGCAGCCCCTTCTCTAGCCCTGTCACCCAGCTCCTTGACAATGCAAAGTTCTTGCTTGTGGTATTCGATGGCTTGTTTAAGATCACCAAGCCTACGGGAAGTAATCCCAAGATTGCAGTAGGCACGTCCTTCTTCGGTCCTGTTCCCCACTGCTTTGGCAATGCTAAGATGTTGCTTGTAGTACTGAATTACTTTAGAACTTCGTTCTACCATTTTAGTGTACATGACGGCTCACCTGAATAATTTGCCTGTGTGGCCAAAGACGTACCTAGTGGGCAAAACAAATTAAGCTTATCATTTATATTAAGTTCGAAATTGAACATTTATCTCTGGTTGTTGATCCGAGTGGCAAGTTTGACCGATTAATTCGCAAAGCTGAAAATGTTGAAAATGCTAAAAGTTTCGTTTAAAGGGGAGAAATCTGTCTCTTTTTGCAACCCCTCCCTCCATCCTTCATATATGAGTTATCGTCCAAACCGTCATCATAATAAAATGTGTGGTGATGACTTGTCCGTTAGCCGTGACAATAACAGCTTGTTGTCGAGTTTGGTTCAAAACATGTAGTTAAGGTTTTTGTTTTATGTCAGTTCTAGTCTTGGTAAAATCAAAAGCGAAGCACCAACGTTTGAGCAACATTTGTCATACTATCTAGAACTACCGTATCATTGATTCGTGTACTATCCAATGGTTAACAACCCAGACAACAACAAACAATACCCAAACATTTCTAATACAAACTAAGAATGATGACACCAAATATTCTGGTCAATTACTGTTCCCCACAATTTGTAATTCAGATACAAGCGAATGGAAACTGATAACTGTCTAAAGAATCTACCAAAATGCCAGAAACTGCAAGGCCAGGTTGCAATAAAAGAAGTGAAGTATTGGAGACATCAGAAAGATTCGAAGTAACATTACCGTACTAAAGCGTCTTAGCCAATGCTAGAAGGCCGGATCATATAGAACACCGCAAAAGTTATTTCTACAATTTTCAGTTTCGTATATTAACGGCATATCCTCATGGTCGAGCCACATTGACAAAATATGTAAGAAAGTATCTTCAATGATAGACATGATTAAGAGCTAGGGCCAGACCCTCTGGCAGCGCCAACGCTCCGAGTACACACAATAGTTTTCTCTATAGTGTCATTTTGACTAATGCAGCTGTGTGCATTGTGGAGAAATAAATATCGGATTAGTTCCAGAGGCTGTACGTAAGACAGGATTACTGGGATTATCCCGAAGTATTCTGAGATGAGGTACGGTCTCAGCCTATCCGTCAATCACTTAATGGGTTGACTTTCAACCAGAGGGAAAAATCACATTGCCACAATGATGAACAAGGTCCATGACAGTTTGTGCCCCGAAAACCTAATCGACATGTTCACGAAGCTTTCCAAAAAGTGTCCCTTATGGGATAAGAAGTGTGAGCCAGAATAACTATCTTATTGCTAGATCTAACAGATTATATACTTAGAAACGTTCCGGCCCGACTTTGAAATAACTTTCCCATTCTGTCAAAGAGGCCCTCTTCTTGTATGCTCATTCAAGTGACCTTTTCATTTGAGCAAAATATCCTACCTACGGGATAGTGAGTTATCCAGTGGATAGCGTTATCCATGCCTTGAACGACGAGAAACTCAACTTCCCGCTGATTACTTAATTGTGATTCAAACAGGACGAAGTCTTCAACGCTTTCCAATGATTTTTCTTTCAATTGGAATGTTGTAATCACGTTAATTCGTGAACCTGGCCCCTGTAGTCGAACGAGAATTACACGAAACTGGCTTTAAGTAGTCACTGCGAGCAAATTCGCCAACCTTTTTTCGTCGATGTGGAATTTTCGAATTCGAAAACGTCTAAGCCCCCAGCTAGACTTCCAGAACTTTTGAAAATCATATAACTATTTCACGCGGTTGTACTTAAGTCCCTCAGTTTGACTGAGTTCGGACAAACGGAAGTTAAATTTTGTCGGTTCCTTTTAACTTCGGCTTTCAGGTTTGGATCCTGAAGTTTCTTTCAGTTTCTGTCAATTTTTCGGTATAAATTAAATTTTAACTAAATTTCAGTTTTTGGCACATGACCACCCACAAGAAGCTCTCGACTAGATCACACTAAACGGAACATAAACATGCCCAATGTTGTGAGACAAAAGCGAAAAATTTATTCGTTGCAAAATCGTATTTGGTCCTCGTGCAGCCGCAACAAAAGAGAAAATTTACAAATGTACGAGTGGGAAAATTGACTAGAAACGGATTTATTCGCATTCAAGGTCAAAAAGGGTTGGGGGTGTTAAGGTCTGTGAGGCAGATGTTATATGATCACTGTAGGAAGCTATAACAGACTTACATCACACATCTACTGCCATAAACTTGAACAAGAAATGTAAGAGATCCAACAGTCTAGATCAGAAGAGAAATTTTGAAATCAGTGGACGATTGACAGTTTTAATGAGGCTTTGGCTTCTTATGTGTTGAACACTAATGCATTTCCGGGTTTTATGCACATTAGAGAGATTAAGCATGACGTTGCGTCAAACGGCAAACGGCAAAAATGAAACTTTAATTTGCCGTCTTGTCTTCAGCTGTCTTTACAGTAGAGTAAAAATATTTGTACTTCTGGTGGATAGTAGAGGACATTTTTGTATTTTAGTTCGATTTAGTTCATAATTACAAGAAGCGAATAAGAAACCAGAGGTAATCTTTGCCATTTGCCGTCTGCCGTAAAACGTCATGCTTAAATTCTCGATCTATTAATGACCTCGGCGTCAACGTCGCGGTCGCTTAAACTCCCAATTTATGGAACGTGGGTCAAGCCACCCCTGGTACTCAGGTATGTTACATGCGAGGATGCTAATCGTGCCTGTTGGAAGTTACAGAATTTAGGATTAGGACCCTGTCCGCACTAAGCCGGAGGAATTTGAAACGGAGGCTTCACTCTGAAAACGCATCAAATGTTTTCCGTCCACACTACGCCGGAGAAATCTGAAAACGCAACAATCACCGGTCATTTTGGATTCGTGTTTGAAAAAAAAAACCCTTGGGTAGGGAAATCACGGTCATGAATATCGTGAAGTCATCGTTTTCCAAAAGCTCCGGTGTCAAATTTATCTTCTCCCACACGGAAAGGAAAAGCCCGCGATTTCACATCTCTGACGTTTTCGTGACGGATTAGCCGTGTGGACGGTAAGCCTAACCGTAGAAATAAAGCTGCGTTTTCAAATTCCTCGCCGTAGAGTAGACGCAGCTATAGACACTGGTGATTGATTGCAGAAGACAGTAGCGGACAGTCCTATTATTGACAGCAGATCTTTGCAAGAAAATTAAATTTGGTGCGATCACATTGGGTGGTGATTGTGGTCATGGTAATTAGCAACATGTAGTCGATGGATACAAACTTACACTCAACCTTGACGAGAACGCAAGAAGCAGCTGTTCTTTGCCCCCAGCAGTACAGAAGGACATTTTTTTTTTTCACCAGACATCAAATTGTCAAAGGTTTAAGTTTTATTAGCTACTGCTTGTAAGTAGAGGGAGTTCTAGTTTCAGTGGGACTCGCCTGCGCGACGTCAGGTAACATGTGACGTCACTACTTACAGTGCAAGCCATTCAAAAAGTGGAATGTGCAGAGGGGGGGGCAGGGTNCATATGACGTCACTGCTTACAGTACAGCCATTCAAAAAGTGGAAAGTGGTGACGGGGGTGGGGTGAGGGCCTGGTGAGGGCGTGGGAGGGGAGAGCGTTCCAACCGAAGATGACTCCTTTTTGAAACCTACCGAGTCCGCTAGAGAGTTTCATTGCTAACTTTTCCTTGTAATATTCACCAGAAAAAGAAGGAACCCTTTTACCCTTTCCTCCGCTACACCCAGAACAAGATGCCTGATTTCCGGTTATCGTAACATTCTCAATTCTACACGTCGGGACAAATACGGAAACATCAACAAAGACCAAATGTGTAGATTTCTAAGATATTCTCCCAACTTTTACAGTAATGCATGGAAACCAGTACGGAAATTGCTATCTTGATACTGGGCTAAAGAGTTGAACGATTGCCATTTACCAAAATCTGGAAGATACCCTGGTGGCAAATTTCAACCTTACATATCGTATTCTCCAAAACGTTTAGAACATATGCAGAAATAAAGACACAATACAAATTTCAGAGATGGCTCAATATATTTACAATTTCCCACCACTAGTCTGCAACTGAATGATTTTTAAAATGGATCTGTAACCAGTTGGATTCAGAATAACAAATAAAACGTTGCCGCGCTCTGTTTAAAAAGTATATAACAATTGAATTGTAAAGACCTGATGTTTCAGCTAAAATCTCAGCCTTAATCAGAAGGAAATGATTAGAAAACTACAAAGAGAACATTGTTTACTAAGAAAACCCACAATTTTTGACAATCAAATTGCACTAGCCTTGAAATTTGCATTTTCCCTAGTATATAACGTACTCTTTGAAATTTTTTGATCACTTCTTCCTGATTTAGGCCGAACTTTTAACCGAAACATCAGGATTTTAAACATCAGAAATTTCCATTTACCTTCTATATTAAATAACGTTTTATTTGTTATGATTTTAGAATGCTCTTGTTTGTTTGTTATTTGCTTTCTTTCTGTTTTGCGGGAAGAGGGGGTGGGTCCCCCTATTTTGAAGGGAAGGCAAAACAACTAGGAGCCATAATTCCCAGTCTTCTCTCTGATATTCCACGCGTACTACCTTCTTGCCTTGTCTCCTGTACCTTGAGCCCTAGAAGGGGAAGAGAGTGAAGCTTGGGGGGAGGGGGGATGTACGGTATTTTATCAAAACAATGCCTCACTGTGATCATCATAATTATGTTTCTTATCCAATTTGTCGCCTTCTTGCACCGTCAGATTCGAACCGCGCGGCTTGCTGCTAATAACAGAGCATCTTTTCCAAGTTCCGCACCTTGACAGTGTTCTGTTATTCTCGCACGGTCCCATTCAATCGAATTTGTACTTTTTCCACACTTCGTCAAACAACGGCTTGCAGCCAATAGACGCGCCCAGCTTTGCACACAGCAAAAACGATCCAGACATTTTCCGATGGAGCGAGTACGTTTCCTCGGGGGGTGGGGACAGGCGATGACGTAACATGATCGGCAGCAGTTCTTTGATGCGTCTGGTGGTGTCCTGGGCCTGAAAATTGAACGGCTCGTTGCTAGCGAAGGGCTCTCCCAGTATCATTACTGCGTCTGCGTGTGCGTTGATCATCACCTACCACAAGGACAGCAAGCAAAGGATCAAATAAATTGACAAGATCTTGTTCGGTATATAGAACTGGGGCGGATACAGGGTTTTAAAGAAAGGGATTCGTTTTAGGGACCGCCGAAGGTGGTCTCCTGAAAGGGGGTCGGGGCGTCTAAAGGCCCTCGGAAATGGGATTTCGGGCATCTTGAGACCAGGTCAG